GTCTGACGCTCGTCTCTCGTGTTTCTTTTCTGGGCGAGTATGTTTGTGTGTGTGTGTGTGTGTGTGTGTGTGTGTGTGTGTGTGTGTGTGAGGATGTGTGTGAGGATGTGAAGCCTCCTTTGCCAATAGCTTCAAGCCACATGTGTGTTTATAGCATTTACTTCTCAGCTCCGCGAGGTATCTGTCTCCTTGACAACCTGGAATGCTCCCCCTCCTCTCCTCTCCTGGGTAAACACAGACAGGAGAGAATACAGCAGTGCGAGACCTGACATCTCCATTAGCTTGTTAGGGGAGTGTGTGTTTGCCGCTGTGTTGCTGAGAGGTTTCTCGAGAGGTGTGCACACGGCAGCCAGAAGGAGAGGTGCTCAAATCCCACAACACACTCTCTGCGCTCCATTGGTTCTGCCTGAAGGATCTGGCTGCTCCAGGTTCCCTGGGTTAATAGGGATTTAGAGAGGGACTGTCTTTTGCTCAGATATGACTTGATGCACAGTCAAAAGGTTGAGACCTCAGAGGTCAAGATTATTATTATTATTATTATTACTTTGATTTTGCAATAATATTAAAATATAATTATGTCCTTGATATTGTTATTATCACCAAGTGCTGAACAATTAATCACTTCTTTAACGGAATTGCAATTTGAAAGGTTTTGATTTTAAATTCCCAACAGCTAAAATTTTAGCTAGAAAGAGAAAAGGTAACCCTCTACTGTACGCATTTTGAGAGCAATAAAAAAAAATTCAATTCACTTTTCTTGCGTAAAACGGTCCTTGATTTATTTTTTTTTTGGACCCGATTATTAATTTCAAAAACATTTCTTAAATGTTCAGGGATCTTAAGGCAACATTGTGCGACAATGGGAAGAAATGATACAGTGGCATGTTCCCTGAAGTGGTGAGACCTGACTTGTGAGTTGTTAAATCCATTGTTGCTTCTAGGCAACAAACATATTTCTGCTAATTCTCATTACAAAAAAAAGATACTGAATGTTAAAAAAAAAATATGTTTAAATGTGTTTAAATGTGCCCACTAAGAGAGAGTATGACCAAGTACATGGTTTTTATTGACTTACTCAAACTCTTCCCTTTATTGTTAATCTTATTGTGTTTAAATATGTGTAATTTTATTGTAAAGTGAGGAAAATTAGTTTGTTGCCCTGAAGCAACAGCGTGCAATAGAGGGTTAAAGCATTTGTAGGCATTTCTTGATTATTTTCAATAAATTATTAATTTGATATATAATTAATTTATACAGTAACTCTATGTACTTGCTTTAATACTGTTATGACGTTGGTATGGTATTCCAGCTTCTTGTTAGTGTATTGCTAGGTGTTTGTTAGCTAAGTTTGGTTGCTAAGCCATTGCTTTATCAGTATTATAACTGACACTGGAGCATTTCTATTGGTTCATTCATCAAAATTTGTACACAATGAAAAGGACAACTGCCATGATTTTCTTTGGGCAGCGACAAAATGTGAGAGCTGGTTTTAGATCAGTGTTAAAAACCTTTACCTACACATGGGCCAATTTAAAATTTAATAAAACAATAATTACCTAACAATTTAACATGTTTATGATGTCAGCGCAAGTATAGGCATTTTATGTACTATGCAAAATGACCAGTGAACCTGCACATGTCTTCTGAGTACTATTTTGCCTACAACACCCTGCATGTACTTCTCCACCATGAATGGAATTTCTAAAGAATATAGGTAACACTTTCTATGAATGCCATGTCTCTCCGAATATATGAACACATTCATAATCCATGCATACACAAGGCCTCATAAATATTACTATGCATTATGAATTGTGAACATATTATAAGTAGTGTTCATAATGATACTCCTGGCACGCAGAGTGTGCTCAGAATTTTTGTACTTGTCATTATGGTTATAGGATATTATTAAGATCTAACATGATAATATAACCCCATTATAAGAGTTTGTAAGTTGTATTTGTCAGCCTTATGAATGTATCATAACATGTTATGAACCTGTTTATAAATGCTCATAGACATGATACTCACAGAAAGTGTTAACAAAATATGTTTAGGGTAAAAACCTTACCTCATCGTAAAATAATATCGCAGTGTTCATAACCATTTCATGTAATAGTGTTCTGTGAGGGAGCTTTTAGAGTCATTAAACTCTTCAGACATCTGGTTTCCATCACCACCACTGTCAACAATAGAGTTTCTCTAGAACTGAGCATTTCACATGAAATCACTCTGAATGACTTTGTTTACAACTTAACCATTTGATTATGCAGAATTTTTGAAAAATCAGTGGAATTCCCCTAAAATAATACACGCACATCCATTTATTTGTAATAGTAATAATATGTTGGTGGTTAGTCTTTGGAAAAAAAAAAAATTGATGACTGTTTGTGTAACACTGCAGCCTTCTTTCATTTCTGGAATCCGGTTTTTGACAGTCGTAATGGTCAACATGTCTTTCTTTTTTGTGCCAGGTGGTAGAACCTTGGCATTCTAGATAGCACATGGAAAGTGAAGGCAAGCCTTATTGTGAGCAATTAAACGCTAAAACAGCTGTACATCAAAATATAATAGTGTTGTGAGAGCTGGTAAATCCAGAGCTGCCCTGCTATAAAGCTCCCATTTAAAATTGCAACTTGTTTGACTAACATGCAGTGATGGTATTGCAAAGTGCCCACAATAACAATATCATTGTTGAATATCGTGGTGTACGTAATCACTGAATATTGGCATATTATCTACATTTATCTGAAGCTGGTAGGATGGTCTTTAAAAGATATAGCTGTCATTTCTCATAATCTGCATGTATTTGCTTTAGAGAAAGCATGTGTGCTGTAATAGTGGCATATCCATAAAATCTCTCCACGGCAAAGACTTATCATAGCTTGAAACTGCACTGCAGTCTCTACATGTATCACGTTACCTAGTACATTCAATAATACCCTACTCTCATCTATTTAGAAGCCACTCTAAAAGCTTTTTGGTTTTGCTGATGGCCGATGTGATACCCGATACCTGGCTCTGAAAGTCTCGATGTTTTCTTCATGGTGATGTGCAAAGGTTTCCACTGCACTCTTCTGTTTTCACTGCTCGACTTCTCTGTTCCATCCTTTTTAATGTTCCATCTGTTTGTCTGCTGACTAGGATGAGTGATAATTTCACACAAGCTGTTTCCTACCAATTGAAAGGATTACGTTTATTATGCTGGGGAATTACTAAGACTATTCCCTGCTGATTCATCTATTAGACTCATTTATGAACTAAGCTCTACAACACAGTGTAATTTTAGATAAAAAAAAACAAAATAACAGACTCCAGCACATTTTTTTTATTTTTAGATTTGTTTATAAGAAAAATAAGAGATAAGTTAACAATAACTGATATAAGAAAAAAAAAAAGAAGGGGAATATTTAAATGTGCGATAAACATTTGTGTATCTACAGTATATGTTTATAGCTACAATATTATTCCCTGATATGAAACTGCAGACAGACAGGGATACCCATTCATTCATCCAACAGCAGGAGAGGTAATCATACAAATAATTGAGTGTGGGGGTTCCTCTGGGGTACATAATGGGTCCATTAGTTCTTCTACATAAACAGCTCCAAAATGGACATTTCTGCTCAGGCAGTGACAAAGTTCTGTGCTTGTAGACTACACAGGTTCGTGCAACAGGAAGCTATGGTCACAGACTGGAGCCATCATCAGAGATGGACAGGAGTAGATTGTCAACAAAGTCTCCTTAGTTTTAGTCTCCACTCCTGTGAGGACAGCAAAAGTGATCCTTGACAGTCTCTTTCTTAATGCCATTAAGAGATTCAGTTGCATAACAGTCTGAATCTGATTTGAATACAATTGTAATCCCATTTAATACACATCAGGGATTTCCGAACCCAACATGAAAATTCTGTACAGTTTTATTAGCTTATTAAATAACAAAAAAAACTGTACACCCACCCTCAGCAGTGAAAGGATTGTAGGATCACGCCGTCCTGGGCATCATTTCAAGCTCATTTACGTCTGAGACTAATAGCCAAATCCTCACGGTTATATCACACTGTAGCGGTTTCATGCACTTACAGTAATAATCAGTGGTTGTGTTGGCTTCGCTTAAGTGGTTTTCAAGTCTCTGATTCTGTTGGCTCGTAGCTCTTAGGCCCATGCAGGCTGTGCTTTTAGGTGTTGTGGGCTGCCACTTTCAGAGTCTAAGCATTCTAAAATGCATCTCTAAGCATGAAGAGACAATTTTGGCCCACTTTGATGTTCTATTATAGTACAGGTCAGCACTTCCATCCAAACATGGTGGAGTGAGCGTGTCATGTGCTTAGGTCATGTGTCATTGGTTACCAAACAGGCTGAGGCTTTTGTCAAGAAAGGAACATTGCAACCGAAGAACCTTGGGACATTCTAGTATACTTAAAGAAGTAAACACTGCTTTCTGAACTAGTGCCTTGATTAGCTTTCAAAGAGTTCATATTTCAATGACACTGCACATTCCTCTGGTTCCATAGCTCTTCTACAATGACAGTGGCATGGTAGCATCCAAAACACGACACACAACATTCAAAGTATCCTGCTCTGCGCTTCCAGGAGAGAACATGGCATCTCTTCCCTTGATGTTCTGCTGCAGATCAGTTCTTTGAAACTACAGCACAGACTGCTATCCTTACATGATTGTCAAAAAGCTTGAATATGTTCTCCTCATTGGGGAAAAGAAAGCTATAATCTTGTGTAAGCCTTCAGGGCTGTGCACTGAGGGTCAGGTGGAGTGGCAATGTGGCCTTTGCAGCACCACATGAGGCTGTGAGAGGGGTTTTAGGGGGCAGTGGGACGGGAGTACCCTAGAGCATAGAGCCTTGACCCCCTTTTTCTTCACACCATCTCATTACAGTCTTCTGAATTCATGCATCATTTAGTCACAGTTCAAATGGAGCCTGCTTACAGCAGGAGGGAGAGTCTCTGACTCCATCTGCCCTTCTCTCTCTCTTTTCCAAGACTTTTTTTTTCTTTTTTTTCTTTTCCACTGAATGGTGGACGGTATTTCTTATTTTTTTTACTCTCCTACTCGGACCTCCTTTCTCTTCCTTTGATTTCTGATGTATCTGCCAGATTACATTTAAGTTCCTTTGAGGAAAAACTCCGTCGTAGTTTTCTTCTGCAGAGGTAGCCCTTGCTCCATCTTGTTTAGAGCGTGAATGTGTTTGTGTACGTGTGAAAATTAATTTTAAACCTTATTATCACTGTCGAGTATGAACTTGCTCCTTCTGTTGGTGAAGAAAGTATTCCATCGCTTACACAACCTGTGGCCGTAATCTTCAGTGTATGTTTTAACTCCATTGCGTGTAATCCGTAGCAGTGTCACCATGCCAAGAGAAGACTGTATATAAGGAAAATGAAGGTGATGGAGAGAAGGACCGTGGAGAAAGTTCCAACCTCAAGAGAGAGAGTAGGGTGGTTTCTGTGGAAACATCTCAGGTGCACTACCAGACAGTGTGAGTGTTTGTGTCCTCTTGGCTCTTTGGTTGAGCTCTTGTTCAGCCAACCGGTGGTCAAATCCCATCCTCAAGTTGAGAACTATAGGATAGATTAGGCTTGTGTTGTCTGAAAAACGTCTTAATGCATCAGACAGTCGTCTCAATCTTCTCAATGATCTCCACTGTAGACTTGGATGGTGAAAGTAGGGTGCACTCGTCTTGCTCCCAGAGGCTACCCGGACTAGAGTCTCCGTCTGTGCTTAACTCGTCATCCTCCTCTTCCTCATCCTCATCGTCCTCACAGGAGTCTTCGTCACACGACTCCATGTAATGCAGACCCAACGCATTGATGCCGGAATCTTCTGAACTGGATGGTGAAGAACAGTGGTCCATTTTGGGACCTGCTTTTTGGCTTTGCTTACCTTGAGTTTGACCCACTTGGGCTGCTTGCTTATGGGCCTTCTGATTGGACGATTGGGTTTGCAAAGCCTGCGGCTGCTGTGGTGGACTGGGCATCGATGGGGGTGGCCGCTGCACGTAGCACATCTTTCCGTTGATCCGTTTCACAATGTAGTCGTCAACAAACAGGTCAGAGATGACGCAAAACTTGGGTGATTCTGGGCAGGGTGGGGCTCTGAAGTTGGGGGCGGTCCTGAGGAGGCGCTCGGTCAGGGAGATGGACAAGTTCATTGTTTGGGTGTGGTCTGAGGGCGTGGCAGGAACTGAGGTGCTGGGAAGCTGGCAGACACTGGTCATAGGCTGGTAGACATATTTACCTACAAAGTGAGAAGAGGACAAGGTGTCAGAATAGAAGTGGATGTGAATTCACTAAAATATAAAGAAGCTGTAATGCTTTGTTGCAATTTTTCCATACAATAACAATGTATTTGCATTATGTGGGATGAATTTGCATGAATTGGGATGTATTTGCATGATACATGAGTTACAACACTGAAAGTAAACCAGATTGTTGTCTTATAGATGAGCAAGTCAACATTTATAAAAGAGTTTTAGTGTGTTTAAATGTTTTTTTATGTTTTTATTTGTACACAATGTTTTTGGTGTCAACAAAGCTGCAGTTGTGCTGTCCATTTAATCTTGGCAGGGCTGTGTTTTTGGAGAGGTTCTTATGCCTTATCTTTCACCCTTCATTGCTCACTAGCAGCTCAACACAGCGTCAAAACATTTCGGATTAGCAACACGTCACACATGTTTTATAAACATCGAGCCACTTTACCTGTAAAACATACATCATCTAGAAGAAGAAGAATATTTAAATTCTTCATTTCATCAAGCATGCAGATATTTTCAGCACCGCTGCAAATGTGTTTTTTGCCATCTCGTGGATGGTGTGTTAACCACTGCTTGCTTATTTCCGGTATCGTGGACTGTTTCCGCACATGTGCAGACTGAGAAATCTGAAAGAAATCTGAGTAAGAGCACACATGTGCTAAGAAATACGATTACAGAGCTAAAATCCAGCTCTCTTTTCAGATTTCTTAATCGGATTTCTAGACCTTACACCAATCTAAGAACTCAGAGTATGCTGTTCACATGACCACAGTGCTAACTGGTCAGGTATAAACTCATTAGCTACATTAGCCTTCCAACGCAAAGTTAAAGAAGCTAATTTTGGACACCCATCATATTTTGGCTGGAAATGTGAGTAAATGTGATTTTTAGCTGAACCATCATGTTTAAAGGCAACATGTTAAATGCTGATCATTCTATCTTCACTTGTAGAAGCCATGAAGGACAGAATTTTGAAGCAGATGTTCTCAGACAGAAGCCTGCATTAGTAATACGGCTCAGGAAGACAAAAAAGAGAGAGAACAGACACGGTACAGTCAAAAAGTCATTAAGACAGAGACGGCGATAAGTGCCAGGCATGTGGAAAGAATGAGAAAAAGAAAATATCTAAGACACGGAAAAAAACAAAAGGATGGAACAAGAAGCAGTGTTTTCACAGAATAGCCCAGATTCTGAATCAATTGAGAGTTGAATTTAATGACTGAGATAAAGCTTCAAACGTAATGTTTTATAGATAGATAAGAAATACTAATTAACATACAAAACAATTCTGCAGCTTTGAGTCAATTTGCTGCCGACTGCTTAAAGTGGATGGCCTGCTTTTTAAATGTGTCACAGCTTCTACAGACTACAAAGCTACAGAGATTATTCATTCCAATGTTTCAGGGTTTTTACTTGTATATATGAGAAAGTTAGTGAGTGAATTAGGGGGTGTATGTAAAACAAATCCATAATATAATTTTCCCTTTTTGCCATATCAATAACAACACACTACGGAGATGCAATGTCGAATAGAGTCAGTGTCATATCAAACCCTTTTTACATTATTTGAAAACACCAGCAGCCTTTTACAGCGTGTACTTTTTATGACAACTGGACCAATAAAAATGGTCTAAAATTCCTCGCAATAAAATCTTATTACATTAGCATACATTACAGTTGAGAACATTTTCCCTTCTCCTATAAAATTACCATTTTACAACAATAATGTTGAAATGATGGTCACTTTGCCAAGTTTGCATCGTGCCTCACACATTTTGCACAACAAACAGGCCACAAGCAATTCTCAGTCATCGAATGTGACTGCACTGCATTTCCTGCAGGGTAGAAATGGACTCGCTCTAGAATGTTCTGAGAAAGTGAGAGACATAAAGAACTGCTCAGTTAATTAGAGCTTGGCATAAAATCATTTCCATTTGGTAGCACTGTTCCCATTTACATCCTGCTTGCCTGTGTGATGCAAAATCCAAAAACATTTTCTACAAAACGACAAACTCCTTTTCGAGCTCTTTTTCTAATTGTCTCTGAGAACACTTCAGTGCAGTGGATGTCTGCCTTCCCCATTCAGCAAATTCAAAGTGTTTTTGGCCTCAGCTGGCTGGTAGCCTAGTGGTAGGAGAGGTGAGCAAAAGGAAGTTGTTGTGGGTTCAAATCCCAGAACTGCCTGGATATTCCTGGCACAACCCCCCATTGCTGTGTGCTTCTCCCAGACTGGGCCTTTCCTTTGTAGGATCAATAAACAATAGCATATTGTGTTCTTCTAAAAATGGGTTAAAGGAATAGTTAAGCAAAAACTTCACATATTTTCCCTCCTTTCCCCAAATGTAGTCAATTCTGCCAGACACGTTTGGGGTCTGATATTTGCTTCTTTAGTTCTGAGGCTAATGTAGCTAATGAGTAATGGAAGCCTATATGCCACCAACTACCATGACATACTGTTATCTAGAAAAATGGATGAGAATGTGCCACCAAGCTGGAAGCAGAGCTTTAATCAGGCCTGATATTTTGGTCCTGACCCAAATACAGCCCATAAACTAACTGTTAAAGCCCGACCTGATCTGGCCCAACTAACGCCATGGTGAGCCCAAACCCAAGTTTTGAGTCTAAACCCAACCTGAGCCCAACCCAACCCAAAGCACTCCAAAACTGACCGGAGTCAACTAAATTCTGTCCAAAACTGACCCGAACCAGCCTAGCACAACCCAAAGTGGCGAATAAAGCCTGATAGGATGGTGCTGGTTACGGTGTAGTGACCATAACAGCTGTCATTAGATCATGGATAAAAATAATATAAAATAATGTGATAAAATAATCAGCTGTCCAAAATTAAGCTTAAGTCCCGCTTTAAAAATTCATTAATGAAACAATGCTTTTGCACAACACCCCTAAGTTTAACAGGCAAAACATTTTTGGCCAAAGATATCAAATATGAACATCTGTGTTTCTGAATTAAACTGTACTCCTGTGGACCTCAACAACCTGCATGAGTGACTCCAGCATGTCAAGTTAAAAACTGTTTTAAGGTATTGAAAGTAAGAAGGAAGAATAAAGTAAATAGAAAAACTAAAGGGGGGAAATGCAGGGTAAAATTTGTTCAAAGTGGGAGGCGGGCTGTGAGAACACAAATCTGAAGTTTGAACCCCACTTGAGCCTAAGACATATTTGGAAAATGATGTCCGAACCAGACGTGAGCAGTTCGGTCATGTCAGGTTTGGAAAAATATTCCAAGCTCTATCAAGAAGCATGAGTTTTGTCAGTTTTCTTTGTCCTTTTTTGTAGATAACAGTAGGTTAAACAGTGTCAAAAACCACATTTTAAAAAATAATATATTTTAAATTACTTGATAACTCAATATGCAAAAACTAAAGTGAACATCTTGGCACAATTGGGAGTTAAAAAATTGTGTACATGGGATTTTTCACTCAACCTGTCCTAGTTACAAAGACAAGGAATGAAAAAAAACAGTTTGTTTTAAGATTATATACACTTTGCTGTAAGTGGCTGAGAGCACAAACTGGCAAGTCTATCATTTGTACTGATCACAGTACACTGCTGTCATTTTCACTGTCAACATAATATGAATCATCAAGCGCCCTGAATTGACAGATACACATTCTAAAACTGACAAAACCTCTCTCTCTTTTCTTTCTACCTCCACTTTGGCACTAAAATGTTCAAGTGATCAGCTCACAGTAAAGAGAATGTGACAGCTATTAAAGCACAAACCACCTTAACAATGTCTGTCCTTCAGTGTATCACCACGCTTTTCCTTCAGGCTTGACTCTCGATCTGCTCCTTTTCCTTTATTCAACATCTGTAGCTATTGTGTTAGCTTTATATATATATTTATATATATATATATATATATATACATCTTAAAATTCAAGGGCAGAATGAGCCTAGTTTTTTTATTACAGCCTGCTCTGTCACATTCAGGTAACAGAGTAATGTGCCCAAAAAACACAAACCTTAAATAAAAGCTTGTTAGCATTGTGCAGATAAGGCTGGTTATAACTAGCTTGCATTCACTGTTAGCTGCATTAGCATTTCGTGCCATTTTGCCGAGGTGTTTGCTACATTAGCGTCATCCTGCTGAAAAACAAAAAGCGCAGACCAGCATACCAGTATCCAGAACACAACCTATGCTGGTGACCATCCCAACTGGTCTGTGCTGGTTTTTCTAGGACTGCACTAGCTGAGGGCTTCACTACATTGGCTTATTTTGTGCCACCGTAAGGTGCCAATCTGTGTTTGATACATTAGCATTTTGCATAGCAGTGGTGTTCAATTGTTACATGTTGGTCTAGGGTGAAATGAATCTGGGGCAAGTGAAGAGACTTACTAGCTGAGGTGTTCACTACATTAGCTTTCTGCATAATACTAGCTGAGGTGTTAGCTACATTAGCATTTTGTGCCACTCTACCTGAGGTGTTTGCTACATTAGCATTTTGTGCCACTCTACCTGAGGTGTTTGCTACATAAGCATTTTGTGCCACTCTACCTGAGGTGTTCGCTACATTAGCATTTTGTGCCACTCTACCTGAGGTGTTCGCTACATTAGCATTTTGTGCCACTCTACCTGAGGTGTTCGTTACATTAGCATTTTGTGCCACTCTACCTGAGGTTTCGTACATTAGCATTTTGTGCCACTCTACCTGAGGTGTTCGCTACATTAGCATTTTGTGCCACTCTACCTGAGGTGTTTGCTACATTAGCATTTTGTGCAATTCTACCTGAGGTGTTTGCTACATTAGCACTTTGTGCCACACTAGCTGAAGTGAAGTATTCCTTCAAACATTATGAGAAGCTCAGTACTGTGTAAAAGTGCATTTTTACCAATGACAACCCTGAAATCCTTTCCCACTAATACAACACTAATACAATGGGTGAACTTTCGAGTACAGCAATTCATGTTTCTCTGCAGTGATACGCCCTGCTGGATTCTACTAAAGATACGACGAGATGG